CTCATTACTTAAGGATATATTAAAACTGTTAATAATATGACACTGTCAAATTAGCATGAACTCACGCGCATGCACGTGTGCCTTCCTCTGATTGGCTGAAACAAAAATCTCAATATCTCTTTTGTTTTTTGACGAAATGTTTTGACATTTTTAACATTGTCATGAATTAGGATATCCTACAATATAATATGGAAAAAATTTCATGAAATCACGCGCATGCACGTGTGCTGCAATCTGATTGGCTGAAACTTTAAAAGGCTATATCTCCTTTGTTTCTTGACGAAATGCTTCAAAATTTAAAATATAGTCATACATTAGGATATCCTGTAATAGGATATACAAAACATTTCAAGAAATCACGCGCAAACACGTGTGCTGCAATCTGATTGGCTGAAACTTTAAAAGGCTATATATCCTATTATTCTTGACGAAATGCCTTGAAATTTAAAACATAGTCATACATTAGGATTAACTGTAATATGATATACAAAACATTTCAAGAAATCACGCGCATGCACGTGTGCTGCAATCTGATTGGCTGGAACTTTAAATGGCTATATCTCCTTTGTTTTTTTGACGAAATGTTTTCAAATTTAAAACATTGTCATGCATTAGGATATCCTGCAATATGATATACAAAAAAAATCCAAGAAATCATGCGCATGGACGTGTGCTGCAATCTGATTGGTTGAAACTTTAAATAGCTATATCTCCTTTCTTTTTTGATGAAATGCTTTGAAATTTAAATCATTGTCATACATTAGGATATCCTACAATATGATATAGAAAAAAAATCATGAAATCACGCCCATGCATGTGTGCTGCAATGTGATTGGCTGAAACTTAAAATGGCTATAACTCCTTTGTTTTTTCAACCAAACAGGATGGGATTTAGAACATAGATAAATATAAGGAACTTCTACAAGAAGGAATAGTCATCATGTACGTGCACGCACGTGCGTGCCTTTGGAACGAGTGAAATTAAAAATTCACTTAAATGAGTGATTTTTAATACTTTTGGACTGAATGCGTTAATATATAGTCTTATCTAATGAAGCTTACAGGGATATGGCACCAAAAGGGAGTTGGGGAGCGTTTGGGGAACATCTGTAACGGTTCCCGTTACAATTAGCACTAGTTTTAAAATGAATTGGATTGATTTCTGTTAAATCGAATGGAATGAAACTTCACACATCAACAAAACAAATATTTTTTACAGATTATATTGTGCTTATTTTAAATTTCTAGTGAGTAATGTAACGAAGATTGACATCGTCCACGAACTTTTCGAACAACCCTCGTACATGTACAAAACATAAAACACAGAACGAAGAATCATACACAAAAATGTTCCTAGTCATACGCATCAGTTGCTTTAAATGATTTCCAAATAGTCACTCTTTTTTACCAGGGGGTCATTTTTCGACAATTCATCTTGAAGAGTGACATACGAAGATGGTACAGAGTCACTGATTGGCTGATCATAAATATGAGGTAGAGCCATGGTGTCGACATAGTTTAGCGACCGCTGGGATCTGAATCTGAAATAGGAAACAATCTTCACAGTCGATATTTTCAGGTACGCATTATTTCATAATAACCCTAACAAAAAATTAACCATATAATATAGTTAGCTATAATAGTTTATCATAGTATACTCTTGTTTTTAATACTTTGATATACTGTAAAATTTTACTCTTAAACTTTTTTAAGATTTAGAGCGTAAATATTTTTTAAATTACATATCAATTACATGTATTCAATTCTTTTGGAAAAAAAGAAAATGTACAAGTAATAGAAATGTACTTTCTTTCATATATAAATATTTGCCTGTGGAAAATAAAAAAATACAATTAATACATTGTTTGAAATTCATAGTAAAAATACTTGGATTAACTTACAAAGTTTAAGATAAAGTTTACATATCCATCGAATGCATATTACAAATTTATTCAAACCATTTTAGATGCAAATCGGCACATTTCTCATGGAAAACATTTGTAAAAATATATTTAAAAAGCATATGTTGTAGATATTCAAATGAAATGAATAAGAAAAATCAACAAAATTAAAAAATATGTACTGCACCTCCTCAGTAGTATAACCGACATATAGGGGGGGTAAACAATGGGTCTATTGTTAGGGAGAACAATGGGGAGAACAATGGGAGGATGATCCGGATTATCCCCCCTCTATTGTAAGGGGGGACAATGGAGGGGGTAAACAAGGGGATTTATTGTTGGGGAGAACAAGGGGGAGGACAATGGGAGGATGATCCGGATTATCCCCCTCTATTGTAAGGCGAGGGGGGAAGAACAAGGAAGCTAGGTTATGGACGACTTCACCGTGACCCGGAGGAGACATGACGGTGTCAGAGAACAATGGGGTAAGGTCATGGATGACCTCTTGTTGACCTAAAGGAGACATTACCGTGAGTGACAACAATGGAGTAGTGACCTGAACAGACCACGTGGGATGTCTTGGGTTTTCTATGACGTGTCATTGGGGAGACGTTTATATAGAAGATGGGTTGTACTTTTTCGTCATTTGAGAAACAAACGTGATAGCGACAACATGTCAGATCCACGATTATCTGTAGCCCTAGAAAACGGTAGATATGCCAGAGTACAGACATGGCAAAATGAACCCAGACTCGACATACGAGAATGGGAAATGGGAGATCGCACCATGAAACCTACCAAAAAAGGAATCAGTCTGAAATTGCATCAGATAAAATCGTTGTCAGACAAATGGGAGAGCATCGAAGAAACGATGAAAAAGCACGAAGAAGGGGATTGGCACCTGGGTTATAACGTGTATGTAACCGTAAAGGAATGGAACCCGTGCGTGGACATCCGGCAATACTGGAGGCCACCAAAGCAAAGTGAGATCGTGCCGACAAAGAAAGGACTTTGTTTGAGACCGGAGGAATATCGCACTTTAAAGTCGAACTGGGAAAACATCGAAAAAAATCTACCGGAACTGGAGACCACGGTGCTCTGTTACGATCGAGACGACCACCTGAATCAAGTCGGAATGTTGCGATGTGCGACTTGTAATCCAAACGATTACGAAAATTGGTGAAATCGGAAGACGGGAAAATGGTGAACAAGTCAAAAAACGGTGGGAAAACGAAAGACGTGGACATGAGAACCTTTGATTTTCGGTGAAACAATGAACCTCGCTGTGAGAAGAAAGACTATGAACGAGTTTGACATTTTTCCAATATGAATCTTGTCATGATACCGTATTTTTTTTATATATGTTTGAATCTTGTCACCGTATTCTCGTATATGTTTAAATCTTGTCATTATTCCGTAAATAAAAGTCTATTGTATTTCAAATCAGTGTGTTGTTATTTGGTCACGTGGTAAACAAGAGAGTTAAGTTTTTGATTAAAAGGTCTGTTTCCAATCGAATCGTTCACAGTCGTCTGATCTCCCATAGAGACAATGAGTATACGACAAGTCTACGGAAATCTCTTAACGATCAGCGAGGTGGACGCCATCTGTCACCAGGTAAATTGTTTAACGGTGACATCCCATGGCCTTTCACGTCAAATCGCCCTCAAGTATCCTTGGGCCGATATTTACCAACAAAGACAACCCGTGGCAAAGCGTAACTTGGCCACTTTGGAAACGAGGGGGAGGCCAGGTACTGTACGCATTTTTACGACACCAGAGTGTCCTGCAATCGTCTGTTTCCTGTCGCAATGGGATTTCGGTCGTTGTCAAAACAACTGTAAACGAAAGATCCCGCCATTTGTGGACACGAAAGAAAACAGAGTTGTATGGTTTCAACAGTGTCTGCAAGAACTGACAGATACTCATTTTCAAACCATAGCCTTTCCATTCAAGATAGGATGTGGACTTGCCGGGGGAGATTGGAGTGTTTATTTCGGACTGATCAAAAACTTTGTAAAGAGATCCGGTAAAAATGTCATTATCGTCGTACCTCGTACTTGATGAGCAAAAGTTTTGTTTTTTTTTTTAATCCATGTTGTGTTGAATCTAATGTTTAAAAAAAAGACAACGAAAAATAAGAGGTTAAAAAATTTATTGTTGACATGTAACCAGAATAAAAACATGGTTTCATGAAAAACTGTTCTTTTTCATTGATTAAAAGTTAAGTGTAACATGGGTCTTCTTTACGCCAGACTCCGTCTGGCCACAGGAATTCCATTTCTCCGCGGTCGTAACTTTCAAAAAGGGATTCGTAATAAGCAGCTCTCATGTCCTCGAAGGGAATACGGTCGGCCATAGTGACCATCATGATATCCCAGAAAAACACCAGGTTCTTTCCGTGCGATTCGTCTTGGATATCCTGTGCTCGCAAACAGAATGTGGTCATTTTTGTAACGTCCGATTGCGCTTCCAAAGCTAATCGGACAAGACAGTGTTTCTCATGGACGAGCTTACTTCTGAGAACGTGCTGTTTTTTACAGAAATCACAGGATTCTGTACTCATGTCGTTGGCAATATGGTGGTCAATCAGTTGTTTGACAGCTGCACCCTTTTTCATGAATAGATGAAAGCCTGAATCATCTATCATTTCGAGTTGATATTTCTTGTTGGAAATCATTCTGGTCCGTATGCTAGAGGAGGTATGATCTTTCTGATGGAAACCTCTGCTTTTTAACATTGCCACCTAGGACGTTATGCGCAGTCACAGCGTCCCCTTTATTGTTCCAAGAATAGAGTCATTGTGTTTGACTCCCATTGAATCGTGGGAAAGGTCGTCTAAGGGTCACGAAGGGACTCATCCGTGATGATCCGTCATTGTTGTTACCCCCTTGCTCAAACAATAGAGATAATACTCCCATTGTTCTTTCCCCCCTTTGTGTCACAATGAAATTCTCCCGAGTACCTTCATGGTCCATCACATCGGGGAAAAACCTATGACGTCACAGGTTTTTCCCGTCAAGCACGTGATCAAGACCCTTTAATGTCTCGTCTCTCATTCTCGGCTTTCATTACTAGTGAACACATCGTCACGATAACATGACTTCGACGTTGGATTGCATGCCTAATGTCGTGGAGACGGACAGTGCACCCAACCTCTTGACCCAAACCACTGCTCGAAAGAGAGACCCCGACACCCGATTCGTTCTGGTCAGCCCTTACAAGTCGTCGGGGGTACGGGGGACATCAAACGAGTTTGTACGACTGCCAGTCGAGAACATTCCTCCGCCTGTCGTACGAAAATCTTGGAAGTACCCGGAATACGTCAACTTTGCCGAACGCTATGCCAGCTTTAAAGAATGGCCCAAGTTTCTCAAAGGTCCCAACAAGACGGATCTAGCACGATCTGGGTTCATTTACACCGAGATCGGAGACAAAGTCACTTGCTTCTCCTGTGGCTGGACTCTGAAGAATTGGGAACCCTTCGACGATGCCTACAGAGAACATCTCCGCTGGTCCGAGAATTGTGTCTTCGCTAACATGGTGACCGATGGAAAAGTACGATGAGTGAACGAAAACTATGAACTGTGGCTTTTTTTTCAAAGACCAAAAAAAAATCATGAGACCATTCACCCACGTCTCCTTCGAGAATCCGAACCGACCGATCTAGGACACGTCAGGTGCTCCGATCCGTATGGACAAGGTCGACCGAAGTAGTGAGAGGAGACTATTGTTTGTATTTGATCTGATGAATAAAATTTGGTTTGTTGAAATGTGTGTTGTTTATTTTTTTATGACTAGGAGAGGTCTTTTTATAAATATAAAAATGGAGGTGTGAAACGGGTTCAAGTCATTTGCATTCGAACAGTGCTAGTGATCGGATGATGGAAGAGTACCTGAAAAAAATCTGGTACGATCCTCGGCATGCCGGATCGTTTGCCGGACCTTCCAAGTTATATGATGTGGTGAAACGAGAAGGCAAATATAATATTGGTTTGAGAAAAATCAAAAAATTCTTACAAAACCAAGATGCTTACTCGTTGCAAAAGAAACTGAGGCGACGTGGTTTCAAGCGGAGACGAGTCGTGGTTCAAGGGATCGACTATCAATGGGAAGCCGATCTGGCCGATGTTCAGAACTTGTCCGAGTACAACGACGGCATCAAATTTCTGCTGGTGATCGTGGACGTGTTTTCTCGTTTTCTGTGGGTTCGACCCTTGAAAGACCGGAAATCCAAGTCCGTCATCGATGCGTTCAAAGACGTACTGAGTGGCCCTAGACGACCCAGAGCCATCCGCACCGACAAGGGCTCGGAATTTTACAATCGATACCTTCAAAAATACCTGAGAGAGCAGAACATCAAGATATTTTACGCCCTGAACGAGACCAAAGCCAATTTTGCGGAGCGATACATACAGACTTTAAAGAAGAGACTGTATCGTTACTTCACCCACCTTCAGAAATACAAGTACCTAAACATTCTTCAAGACGTGGTGCATTCCATCAACGATACGCCCAATCGCTCGCTGAACGGACGGACGCCGTCTTCCGTGACCCAAGAGAACGAAGAAGAAGTGCGATTAGATGCTTATTTAGCACGTCGACAGAAAGACGCACGCATACCCCGAGGGAAGAAATCTCTGAAAAAACGCAAACCCTTCAGATTTAAAAAGGGTGATCAAGTTCGAATCACGCATCTGAAACGGGCGTTTCAACGCGATTACGACCAGACGTACACGGAAGAAATCTTCATCGTGAGTGATCGTTTCGTGTCTCAAGACATACCCATCTACAAATTGAAGGACATGATGGACGACCCAATTCGAGGAACGTTTTACGCCAGCGAACTTCAGAAAGTGTCGAAAGACGATGAGACCGTCTGGCGAATAGACAAGATCTTGCGGAAACGCAAAGTTCGCGGGAAAGAAGAGGTTCTGGTCAGATGGCTGGGCTGGCCCAAAAAATTCGACAGCTGGATTCCTCAGTCCGACATAAAAGAGACGTGATGCCGACTCAATTCATCAGTACTAGAGAAGATGTCGATGCGAATGGTTCTCAAGTCTACGGACAGTCCCTCCGTCCACCACAACAATCGACCTGACGACTTTAGAGTGCGGTTACCCCGTCCTTTACCCTTGACGGGGGATTGGACGGTGGAACTGACCGAATTTTGGAACTCGAACGTCAAACCGACGTCCGACAAGGAAATCTTCGTCTACTGTTCCGTCTGTGACGATAGCATCGTCGGGGAACATCAGAAACCCCTCCTGAGGCGCATCGTGCTGGAAAGCGACCGCAACGTCATCTTTCTGCAACCCTATCGCATACCGTTACGCATCAATGACCTGCGGGACGTTCACGTGTATATAAGAGACAAAAACGACGGCGACGTTTCATTCTTGGTCGGAGAGTCGACGTTGACACTCGTGTTTCGGCGTCTCTGATCCAACATGTCTGGACCCACTTACATTTCGAATCCGGCCTTATGGGAACAATTTCGCCACACGGAAGATGGCGAAAATTTCATTCCTACCCTACGACGCAACAGCCAGAGAGGAGGTGGGATCCTAAACCGCAGAAGAGCTTACATGCTTCCCTTGAAATCTCGCATTCCCCAACAGAACGTACAGCTGGTGACACCCGTAGCCGCCGAGCAAGAGCGAGCCCTGTCCGATCTGAAAGAAACCATGCGTAACGACGAGCCTCACATACCTCTGAAGAGAACTATAAAAAGAAAAAAGAAGAAGAAATCTGTCAGTCGCACATCGACCTCCAAAGGGAAAGGACGTGTCCGGAGCCAGAAGACGAAAGTCCGTAAACGAGCCAGAAGCCTAAAGAAAAGGAAACCCAAAACCACAAAAACCACGCAGAGAAAATCCCGTCTTCCAAAGAAAACCATCTTTTAATCATGGCATTTTTGAGCGAGATCAACACGTCCGTGGCAGAACCCTCCGAACTGGCTCTCTTTAGCGATCCTCCCAATCAGGTGGCTGTTCAAAAGATTTATTTTTCGGAGATTCGACCCGTCTCCTCCTTTGACGGAGACACCGCTCCTCTCGAATTTGCCATTCCGGGAGGGGGAAACGAATACATCGACTTGAGAAGGAGCCGACTCTACTTGAAAGCCAAGATCACTAAAGCGGACGGCACGGCACTGGCGGCCTCCGAAAAGACGGGTATCGTCAACTTGCCGTTGCAGTCTTTGTTTTCGCAGATCGACGTCTACATGAACGGAAAATGCGTCTCGCAGAACGCCAACAATTATCCTTGGAAAGCCTACCTCAAAGTCCTCTTATCCAACTCACCCGCCGCCAGCAACTCGCAACTACAGTCTCAGCTGTATTACCCCGACAAGGAAGTCTTGGATGACGCAGATGCCGCCACAGGACGCAACCAGGGACTCCGAGGACGGTACGTGTTCACGCAAATGTCCAGAACTTTCGATCTGGAAGGTCCCCTGTACGTCGACTGTTTCTACCTGGACAAGTACCTGATCAACGGGGTCGACTTACAGCTGAGACTCTTTCGTTCGAGGAACGAGTTTGTGCTGATGAGCGCGGAGGCTTCGCCCAGTTACAAAGTCACCATCCTCGATGCCGTCTTCAAGGCGTGCAAGATCCGATTAGACAGTGCCGTCCTGTTGAACCATGCCAACGCCATCACCAAATCGCCGGCCCGTTACAATTATCTCAAGACCGACGTCAAGATGATGACCATCTCGGACAAGACCAGTGAAGTCTACTGGGACGACGTGTGGAACGGAAGAAGACCTTCCAAGATGTACGTGGTCTTTGTGAAACAGTCGGCCGTGAACGGAAGCTACGAAGGCAATCCTTACAACTTTCAACACCTGAATCTGTCCGAAATCGTCGTGACCGTCAACGGAGAACCCACCCCCGTCCGTCCCATGAAGATGGACTTTGGCGACGATCGAAATTACGTCACGGCGCTCTGCAACCTGTATCAAGCTTCCGAAAAATGGTACAAGGACGACGGCCTGATCATCGACCGCGACCAGTTTTCTAAAGGCTACGCCATTTACGCCTTTGACCTCGACCCCAACGACCTGGGTGAGGGGTATATAAACCTGGTACATCAGGCAAACGTCGGAGTATACGCTCGATTTGCCTCGCCCACCACGGAGACCGTGAGCGCACTGGCCTTCTGCGAATATCCAGGACTGCTCCTCGTCGACCAAGCTCGAGAGATCCGACAGATGTAAACATGGACACGTTACAGTTACTTCAACGAGTAGAGACGTTGCCGGGGTTGAAACTTCATTTTCGGGGGGTGTTTGCTTCCGATACGCTACCCGGGCGAGTTCGACAGTTTCCCTCGGCCTTCGTCTGCAACACGGATCCCATCGACAAGAAGGGGACGCACTGGGTCGCTTACTGGTTCGCCAGTGCCGACCAATGCGAATTTTTCGACAGTTTCGGAAGATTGCCGGGAGAGTACGACGGTCGTCTGAGAGACTTTATCGATCGCAACGCCTTGTTCTGCCTCTACAACAACGTACAAGTACAGCCGGATGCTGCCACCAGTTGCGGACTTCATGCCTTATTTTACCTGTATTGTCGAGTGAAAGGACTATCCATGGCCGATGTGATTCGTACGACGTCAGAGTCCCTCGTACGTGACGTTATTTTAAAGGGAGATCGCCTTCTTTGACATTATATGCTTGAAGACTCTTAAATATAAAAAAAAATGTTTATTCTGTATGTATGTATGATCCTAAGAATGCACATTGTATCTTTTATTTTATGGATTGGTATTCGCATTGTCCATCATCAAAGATTTCCGGAAACCAGTTTCCGGATCCCTCGGGTTCGCGCGCGCGGCGGCGGCCCGGGAAAATGTGGTTCATGTCATTGATTTTCGTGTCTAATAAAAAAAGTGCACGCAAAAAAAAGGTGTTGTGATTATTTAACGAGGTGTTTTCTCTAGAGAGACGTTAGTCTCTGACAGCCTTTACCAAGAGAACGTCACGATGAAATTTAAGACTCCGACCTCGTTTGCCGTCGTGGGGGGAACCATGTGCGGCAAGACGCACTGGGTGTGGAACCTGTTGAAAAGTCCCGACACGTTCGAAGTCTCTCCTAGTAAGATCGTGTACTGTTATCTGGAAGACCAACCCGTGGTGGACGACATGCAAGCGACTCTCCCCGATTTCACCACCTACCGAGGATTGCCTACCCGAGAAGAGATCCGAGATTGGTGTCTGGACTCGCCACACACGGTAGTGGTCTTGGACGACATGATTCACCTGGCGACCAAGAGCCCCGATGCCCTGCACCTGTTTCAGACCATGGTGTCTCACGGCAACGTGACGGCATTTCTCTTGTCTCAGAACCTCTACCCGCCCGGAGTCTACGCCAAGAGCATCCTGTTGAACTGTCAACACGTGGTTCTATTCAAGAACGTGAGAGACAATCGCCAGATCATCACCTTCGGAAGTCAGGTGTTTACGGGTCGTTCTAAATTTTGGATGGACGCCTACGCCAAGGCCGTCCGCCGTCCTTACGGATACATTCTGGTGGATCTGACCAATCACTGTCCCGAAGATCGACGCCTGCGCACGAACGTCTTACCGGAAGAAGGGGAAACGGTCGTGTACCTGCCCCAATAAATACGACCGCCGACCCATTCGAGACGTCATTGTTCGTCATGAGACCTAGACGTCACGCAACTTTTCTCCGTTTCCTGTACGAAGCGGATCCCGTACAGAGGAAAGAACTGGTCAACCTGGCGTCGGACGAGCAGTTGAATGCTTTTCGAGAAATCGCTCTCAATCTGTACTCGGGACATCCCCCCGTGTCCGGTTATTACAAGACAAAACTCAAGGTTCATAAAACATTACTTCAGTCTCTCAGTGACCGAGCAGTGGACAACACCGCCATCAAGAAATTATTGAGGAAACACGCAGAGGCCATACCCCTGATTCTGAAACCTCATTTCAAAGATGGCAGAGGAATACGTTCTCGTGAAAAAGACGACCTTCGATCGGATGAAACAAAGTCAGAATGATCGTCAAGAGGTACGAGACCAAGAAACGAACACCGAGACTCCTTCCGACCCTCAGATCGAACCCTCGGTGACGGATCGCCAGAGGGGTTCGGGACTGATTTACGACGGATCCGTGAAGAGGAAGTCCCCACCGGGCATGCGCACGACTCTCCCAAAGAAGAACAAGACTTGGATCAAGTTTTGAAACATTTTATACGAAAACATACGTGATCATCTTTCAGGCAACAGACCGTCCGAGTGAATACGACCGGAAGTACCTTCTGAGCATATGCACAACTCTCACAAAGAAGAAGAAAGACTCGAGATTTTTGGAACTTTTATTGACATTTATATTTCTGTACAAGAATTACAAAAACATGTACCATGAGCCAATAAAAAATGATTTCATACAAAAAAAATGTCTTGTTGTTAATATCCGTAAGGAAGGGTGGTCAGGTCACTCTGCACGACTCTCTTAGTGTAGACAGCCGAATATTGTTTGAGTTCTTCTTGACTGTAGAGCTCAGAATGAATCTTTTCCCGGCAGATCTTTTTGGCGTTGGTGGTGTGATACATGCCCATCGTCGGATCGTCGCGATTAAACATAGCGTCTCTCATACTTTCCAGGTTGAGAATCTGTGAGTTGGCGTAGTTGAGAGAAAAGCCTTTCACTTTGCACACCTGCTTTCCCTGATGCGTCCGGTACGCGTAGTTTTTTGGACCGTTACAGACAAATTCCGTGATCCAATCTCCTTCGTCCAGTTCGTCGGTGAGCTCTCCGAGGTAGTCTCCGGTGGGAGGTTCCCACTCCCCTGCCTTGGACACGTAGATGACGGAATCCGTATCCCAATAAAGGACCCGAGTCTGTAATTGATCTAGTAAGTCGTACAGTTTGAGCCGGGCCCAGCAGGTGGTAAAAGAGGCCAGGAACACGTTGGTGTGACCCGGAGCACACATCTCTTCCGAAACGCGTTTGGTGGACAGCATGAGGTTTTCGTCATCCACGATGTTAAAGTCGACAATCTGTACGGTGGGATCGGTCATTTGACCGAAGAGGAAGTGGGCCTGACTGTCGTGAAGGAATTGGGTCTTGGTCAGATTCGTGCGCTGACCAAATTTCCCCCAAAAACTATTCAATAACAGTTTGGCTAAACTCCTTAGACCCGCATTGACTTGGATTTTGTCGGGGTCTAGGCGAATGCCTTCCTTGGCCTCGTACATCCTGATGTAACTTTCGAGATCCGACTCGGTCTTGACCCACGCCGGTCGCCCACTGGCCTCTTGTTTTATTTTCAGAAACATGTTGATGTAGGAGGAAAAGAGGCCTCCGGTCTTCGTGGCCGTGTCGTACTGAGTCGTTTCCGTCCAGTGGTACACCTCGTAGATTTTCAAGACCGCGTACCCTTTTTCGATGGCTTTTGAGAGTTCTGGCGTGCAATACGTTCCCGTGAAAGCCCTTTGGTCCTCGTTGCAGACACAGGGGGTCTGTTGCTGCCGTTCGACGCAGGTTCGACAGAGAGGAAAGGTCAATTTTCCTCCCGTACGGTAACCCAAGACCGGATGAAAGAGACCGCGGGGCGGTAGGACTTTGACTTTGACTAATCCGAAATAGGTCGAAAGGTCGGCGAAATCCCGGGTGACGATCTCTGGGTGTCCGACGGGGTAACGGCACGTCTTGTTGACAAAGGGGTACAGGGAGGTAAAGTCCACGTATTTGATTTTCGTGTCCTTGGTGGCTCGCTTGTAGAGCACGCATCCGTTGGTACGCCCACCCATCAGACTGTCCCGAGGATCGAGACGGTCCACCACTTCTAAACGGTCGACGAACGCTTTGGCCTCCTCGTCCGTCTTTAACATGGCGTCAAACTCGTGTTCCCAGAGGGTGACCACTTTGAGTCCCCGTTGACGGAGTTGAAGTTCCTTGTGCTGCGTCAGTGAAAACAATTCCGAAGCCGTCTGCTCCGAATTCGGGATCAGTAGGGCGTCTCGATCTTTGTAACAGACGGGACAGCCGTGGTACAGACAGCCGTGGAACTCGTAAGCCACGCCGTGGGGGTGTTCGGCACTGGGGGAAACGTATCCGTCTAGGGAATATCGGGTACCGGGCAGATGGTATTCTCCACGTCCCGTGAGTGCATGCTGAATGTCCAAAATGCGTCCCGAAGTTTGAGCGCGATGTCTCAGTAACTCTAACCAGCAGATGGACTTGCGGCTGTACTGGATGCGGGACGGATATCCCTTGGGTGGAGGACGAGCAATGGGGGACTTGACAAACTCTTCTTTCACGATGACGACGTTCCGTTGCTTCAGAGTATTCCAAGGAATCCAACGACCCTCGTCATTCACGATCGCCTCTCCGTCAAACTTCCTGACTTCCAGCCAACGTTCCTCATCGTCCTCTTGGACCAGGCATCTCCAGTCTTCCATTAAAAACTTGGATTTAAATACGTCCATGCAGAGAGACGCGATGGTACAGGAATCGAACGCATCGACGGTTTGGCCTCCCTCTTTACCGGTTGCTTCCTGCAGGAGGTTCTTGAACTTGAGACAGGCACGTCGGAGGATGTCAACGTCGCTTCGGCAGTACTTGAGGATTTCTTGTTGAAAATCAAAGAGGTCTCCACTGGTGACTTTAGCGTCGTACCATTTGAAGAACTCTTTTCTACCATCCACAGACATGGCATTGGGACCATAAGTCTCGGCAGGTGGGTAAGGTCCCACATAATTCCGGTTGGCCTGGCATGTAAAAAAGTGAGGAAAGTACCCCTTGGCCAGCGATTCCAGCTGGAAGGCTTTGGGGAGTTTGGATAAGGCCATCGGTAGGAAGTTAAACGAATCGATGACTCGGATTTGAAGGCCGGTGATGTTGAACATTTGAATTTTACTTCCCCTGTAAATGATAAAGGAAGGACGAATGGACTGCGACAGTAAGTACTGCAGAAGAAACTGGCCATCGTACGAGAGGTTATGAAACAGGACGGTAAAGCCTTTGTGATGTTCGCGAAAGATCCATATCCCGAGATCGTACAAGGTCTGGAAGACGCGCTCTCGCTGTCCGCATCGACCAGGACAGGGAAGCGAAAGGTACTGTTTGGTTTTCTTGTCCTTCTTGTCACAGGTCGAGCATCGGTCTCCACAAGAAGCGCACGTACTGTCGAATGTGACGTCGTCGTTCTCGCAATTTTCACAGGCGGTCTGACACACTGCCAAGACCACGGTATGTTTAAATTTTCCGCAGTGCGATTTGAGACAGTGTTGACAGAGTCGACAGGAGGGGCACGGGTCTTGCTCTGTTCGACATTCGGTACAGTCGTTGAGGCGTCGAGGTGCGTATCCCCACTCACACTGGACGATTTCGTCCTTTTGTGAGGCCTCGATGTCGGCAAAAATGAATCGTCGACTGGTTTCGTTTTCCTTGGAAGGGTGTCTCCTGGCGTAGCACAGATGTTCGGGATCTACGTATTGCCTGCAGGACTTGCAGATGTAATGACCGCATCGGTGATCTTCGGGTTTTAACTCGTGTCGTAAGAAAGTCTTCTTGCAGGTCGGACATCTGTATCGGAGATCGCAAGGTGTGGTCCCTCCTTCCATGGGATTCTTATGTCGAATGAAACAAGCCCCAGAGCGACAGGTCTGATGACAGTCTGGACAAGCTCTCTTTTGTAGTACGGGACAATGATCGGAAAAGCAGACATTGCAATGGTGTTTGCATTTATGTCCGTATGGTTTTTCGTATGGTTTTAAACACGTACTGCAGAACCGTGACCGACAAAAGAAACCTGCCAGCGTCGTGATGGGATAAAAGTGTTCGGCCCCCTCCGTGTCGTCGTGCAGCAGGAATAGTTTCTTTCGTTCTTCGTCGTGATGGGCACTGATGTAAGAGAATGCGTTCCCCATCTTCGCACTGATGATGTAGAGGTTCACGTTGAGAAAATCTTCTAGAGGAGGGATGGCCAAGTAGGACAACGGACCGTCATCGACGATATTCATCGTTTCACAGATCTGATTTGTCAGGCTGTCTTGGGCTCCTTTGTGGTTTTTTCGCAGATCCCTGCAATACCAGAGCGGACACTGGTGGTAAAAAATGAGAATTTCCCCGGTCGTGAGGGTCGGATGACGCGCCTTGACGTTGTTAAACTCAGTGATGTGAATTTGACAACTGTGGGCCAAAGAGACGAGAGTAGCGCGGACGAGACACTTGTTATCGGTATTGCGTATCTTTATAATGGCTCTCTTCTCGGCAATCGATTTAGCGACGGAAGACATCTTTACTCCCGTACCACCGCGTGGATATTTGATGGCCCCGATATCGATTCGACAAGAGGAATCGAAAGGCAGGTCCTGGTGACTGTTAAGGACGATCATCAGGCTTTCTAGCATGGTCTCTGCGTCCATCTCCTCCATGGGTCGACAGGGGACGAACACGGGCAAGTCCAAATGATCATTATGGATGGCTGCCCTGACGAGATCTCCGCGACGAAGGTCCTTCTTGACTCGATCGAGCATCTCTTCGAAGGCGTCTTTCAAGACGTTTTTGACTTCGATCATCTTCTTTTTTTCCCGAAAGAGGTCGTCGTGGAACGTCAACTCGTACTGCAAGTCCACGGCTCCCATCTTTTTCAATTTCTTTTCACGTATGATTCGAATATCGAAATCGTCTTTTCGTCCAGCACCGTACTGACCGGCTAATGAATCGCTCAGCGGATCCACTGGTATGTCGCAAAGGAGAGAATCTTCACCGTGAAAAGAGGTATCCGTGATTTCCGAAAAGAGTCCATCTTCTTCCATCAACAGGGATTCCTCGCCGTGGAAGGAGGAATCGGCAATGTCCTTAAAGTCCATGCTCTCTGCATGAGCACCGCTGGACGTGGACGCCTGGTATAATAGGTCGTCTCCCGTAACAGGTGTCCAGTCCATGTTTTGGATGTCTCGAAACAGTTCTTGTTCACAAACGCCCGAACTGTAATCATTCATTGTATATTTTAAAATAAACACCAGACATTAAGACATTGCTCATTCATTGATATCTGTTACCATACATTCCCACTCTTAATTTTTTTCTTTATCTCAAAACGAATCATCCTATAAAATAACTTTCTCATTTTTCATTTTTTTTTTTTTTAAATTTTGCTAAACTATCAAACATTTAAAAAAAACTTTTTAAAATTCAATTTCATCTCAAATGAGTTACCGTATATTTTATTTTTTTTAACTTTTATCACAAAACGGGTTACGGTATATGGGTTACTTTGATTTGAGTAAATTTTCCATACATGAAGTCGCTCTCTATATTTTAATGACATTTTTCTCACATGGAACACCATACATGTGTTTTGATTTAGATTGAGGGGGGTTGAATAACTGTTGTAAATAAAAAAACTTTTTAAAGATTTTTTTAACTCAAAAGGGTTACCATATATTTTACCTTTTTTCAATTTTTCATCGACTTTTATCACAAACGGGATACCATACATGGTATACTTTGATAGGGGTGAATTTTATCTATTATGTGACGCCATACAATTGATCCATAACTTTAACCATTTTTATCACAAGCAGTCCACCATACATGATGTCGCTCTCTGATTTATTGACAATTATCTCGCATGGAACACCATACGTGTGTTTTGATTTAGATTTAGGGTGGTTGAATAACTGTTGTAAATAAAAAAAACTTTTTAAAGATTTTTTTTTTAACTCAAAAAGGTTACCATATATTTTACCTTTTTTTCAATTTTTCATCGAATTTTATCACAAACGGAATACCATACATGGTATACTTTGATAGGGGTGAATTTTATCTATTATGTGACGCCATACAATTGATCCATAACTTTAATCATTTTTATCACAAGCGGTCCACCATACATGAAGTCGCTCTCTGTTTTATTGACAATTATCTCGCATGGAGCACCATACGTGCGTTTTGATTTAAATCGGGGGGTCAAATACATATCTTAAAGTACTTGTTTGACAACAAAACACATGACACAGTAAACTCATTGATGATTTTTTCACCTTATTAATTAGATCCCTGTTTCTTTTTCTCTTTAAATGTCAGATTTATCATCGAGAGAAAAAAATTGGAAGAAAAAAAACAATTATTTACATCTATATATTTGCAATGATATATTAGCCATCATCGATGGATAGAAATAACACAACTTCATTACTTGATACTATGATTTTGGTTATTCACATTTACGTTAAGTCTCTGTGTTGTGACTTTACAAGGAGCGTTAACAAGGTAATGCCCGAGTTCACCTCAGATATTTGAAGTTAGCGGAGTTATCTCTCTTTATCCGATATCTTTCTGAATTGTGCATAAGAAGGTAAACAAATGGTCATTCTTACCTTGCAGTATTGTTAATATTCCTTTCGTGTTCCTTTTCGTGATCGGCCATGCTATCATAATCATTAAACATTAATTCACAATAACCACACTGAAACATGATGTTTTTTTTCCTTAAGTAACGCACGTCAGTCTCCTCAGAGGACTTAAAACATAATATACAATAAAAGTAATATACAGTTATTTTATTTTGGATATTTCAACAATTCTCAAATTCCTGTTGGGTGATACTGCTCAAGCGTAAAAAACATTTCGGGACTCTGGAAAATTTTCCGTAGGGAAAATAATGACATTGTTTGTAGAATGTTGCAGATTCTTTTATATACAATGATTACCTTTTGTACTTTTAATACCCCATTGTAATTCGTTCATGTACGATACAGGTAGTAAACCATGGAAAATTTCGATGGGAAAAGTTAATGAATTCTGTATTTTACATCAGATTTTTTTTTCACACATAATAAATACCATTTATACTTTAATGTTTCGTAATTAGTTTTTTTATGTGTATATATACATTTTTAATAATGGCATGATGTTCAGACAGAAGAAATTATTTTGTCATCCTCAACCCGTGTGTTTACACTTTTTCTAAAATAAATAAAGAGATTTAATTTTAAATCCTCCTTGTAATTGATTCGTGCGTACACTGTTGCTGTCCTTTTACGATACATACCAAAGTTTGGGTATTAAATGATTGGTTAAAACAACTTGTGTATTTAATTTAAAAAAAATACACACGATACCTATCAATCAAATAACTTCTAAACCTGGGCGTATTTTTAACAATGACATAATGTTCAAAACAGGGGGGATTATTTTTTTCATCCTCACTCCGTGTTTTACGCTTTTTCTAAATGTAAATAGATTAATTTTAAATCCTCCTTGTTATTTCGCACGTAAACTGTTGCCGTCTTTTTACTTTACTTATCAAAGTTTGGATATTCAATGTATGACTATATTTTGTACTTAATAAATTATTGATTAGGTATTTTTTTTTTAATCGTGGTAGAATTTTTAAGATGTTATGAAATAAAAATCCTTCCTTAAAAGAATTTTCTATTGTAAGAATTTTTTTTAATTGAATTTCAAACAACTCTCTTTTTTTGAAAAAATCCTTGTTTTTAAAGTATGACAGAAAATAAATTATTTATCGCATTTTTTTTATAAATCTAAAATGCATATCAGTCTTGTGAATTTGGTTCATTTCACTTTGATTTAGCAAAGCCTTTTCAATTAGATTACAATAATTGAAAACCGTTCATATCTCTGTCATTATACAATGAATACCTGAACATCTAAACATGGGTATGCTTTTGTCATCCTCTCAACATGCTTGTAAACGTGATTTTTTTTAAAGAATTGGTATCATTATAAACCTCTTTGGTTAATTATTCATGCATGTTGTCTGTAAGCAGAGTATTAGCGGACCATTCATATTTTTTTATACCAAAGTTCGGATGTTAGATGGTTGATTACGATAACTTGTGTATTTTTATAAAAAAAAAATACACATGATACCTAACAATCAAATAACGTCCAAACATGGGCATAATTTTGTCGTTTCTCGTAATATCCATCGTTTTGAATATAATCCATAAATATCACCCGTAGTTCTAACAATTTATCATTCATTATACCTTTATTAAATAAAAAGAAATTAAATGTTTACAAAATTTTAATGAGGATGAATTTACACAATCCTTTCTGGAATTTTGTTTTGTGTCTTTAATGACTTCGTTCCTCCCTGAACAATGTTTACAAAATTTTTATGAAGATGAATTTACACATTCCTTCCTGGAACTTTTGTAACTTTAGTGACTTCGTTCCTCCCTGGATACGTACTGATCTTTCGTCATCTGAGAAGAAAAAACAAACAAATATACACACACACACAAAAAAATATCAAAACATACAATACTAAATGTTACGTACACACTACTTTTACTGATATTCATCATATGAACTTACCCTTTACTCTTTTCTTCCGCGCAGGTCGTAGCGGGTTTTCAGCTGCACCTCTTCATCCTCACTCTCGTCCGTTTCTATCCTTACGGTTCTTATGTCCTTCAGCTCAATGTCTCGTGCTGCCGGTCTCCTGTATGTTATAAACATGTTTTCGTACTGATTTGTTTTTAACTTGTTATCGCAAGTGCAAGATTGTAACATTTCATGAATGCAATTTAAGAGAGAGAGAGAGAGAGAGAGAGAGAGAGAGAGAGAGAGAGAGAGAGAGAGAGAGAGAGAAATTACCTTTTTACACGACTTTTCTTCATGGGGAGTCTGCATGTGATGCCCATCTTACGAAGTAGTAGTCTCACTGCCCAGGACAGCACGATGATGATGATAAGGCACACTCCTGTCACCCCAAGCCCGTACGCTGTGTCTACTGTAATTATTAATTTGAAAAAAATTAATTACATGTAAAAACATATATTACTTTAATTTCAATCTGAGTGTGAATTCTTAATGAATCGCGATAGTGTTCATTGCATTTCAGACTTCAGAAAATATATTAAGTAAATACTTACTTAATAGTTTAATCTCCATCAGTGTTAATGCATGCATACAATAAGGATATTGGTTGATAATCAGGTATCATAACAAGAATAATGAGTTCAAAAATCATATTAGTAGCAAACAAGATATATATTAGTACAGAACTATTCATACAAATCACGGATCTTGATTCTGTTAAACATTCTTTTTTTTTAACTTTCAGTTGATATGATAAAAGGAAATTTGATTTTGATCATGCATTTATTTATCTGTGGCTTTGTATAATATCGTCTCACCTTCATCAACACATTCCATCTCAATTGAATTATTTACAAGATTAGATTTTTTCCTACGTTTTAGCTTCAAAACACAGACACACATTATAAATAATAAGGGTATAAGGATAGTTATGAACAAATAGTCAAGCTCATTTCTGATACCCTTGTCTGAACTCTCATGGGTATTAAGGATCGTGTCCCTCGTTGAAGTGTCCGTAGCGACGGGTGTTGTAATGTGGGAGTAGGATGAACTGTTGATCTTCTCGTCACCGTAGGTATTGGGGGAACGGAATGTCCTATAATCTGACCAGTGCACTGATGACCCTGTCCATATTTATATCTTTAATTACACAGTGAGTGATGACACTGATGGAAATTTACTTTACAACACTTTCTAATCATAATAAAAATGTCTGACCACATTTTTCAAAACGATAAATCACCGTTCAGAACAGATGGTAATGGTAAAAATGACAACATGATGATTTCTCTGTTAAAATGTTTTCGTTACTAGACTAGCATTTTTTTTTCAGTCTTGTTTATTGTATGTTCATTAATTTAGAGTCATCTTTAATTAAGACTGACAGAATTGTATAATTTCACACGCAGGGATTTCCTTCTTTTTTGGGCTCCTCTTTGATTGACAGGGAGGATGACCAGTACAAATTTTTCATTTTCTCTTTTTCACTAGATTCACTGTACATAAGACTTAGTTTTTATTATTCAAATTTGGTACTCATATCACATGATACATTTTTCAAATAAAAAGAGGAAAACTTTCCCTTGAAATCTTACCAGTCATGGCATCAAAAACGCCTGTTTGTATTTGCGGTGTAATTACAGAAATCATCGGGGACTTGGTCGCTCTAATTGACAAAGTAGACAATGTTCCCTGTCCGTAAGTCCTCTTTCATCATTTTTAAAACTTGAGAATTATGTCATTTTTGGTAAGTGATTGTGCTATTGTATTTCTTTTTTAATTGGTAGATTTGAAGTGTCTTATGGGAAGAGGACGAGGTAAAAAGAAAATATTTTCATTCTTTAACTTTATTTCGCTTGACAAGTATTTAAGAAACATAATAATTTTAAAAATCATATCTATTAATGAATTTATCATCCTCATCTGCATTGACCGTCAGTAATGCCTGGCTCTAATTCAATCTTTTACTGAAAATTGGTTTTAAAAGACTGGAATTCATTTTCTTTCGTTTTTTTTTCTCTTTTCTATTTCTTACCATTAATTACTATGCATTTTTTTTCTACACATTAATTAGCACGCCAATCGGGACCCCCCGTAAAGAGTAAGTAGAATAAGTCTTATTAACCCTCCTCATTTATCATTCCTTAAATGTAACATTTAAGCATATTTTGTTCACATTCATTTCTAAACGTTTCAGAAACGGGGATGGTGAAGAAGATGGGTCAGTGAAATACATGACATAGATAAACAAATATTCCATCAGTTTCCACTCTTCATTTTATTTAATTAATTAATAGATAAAATTTAATACTCCTTGTACGATACGCGTGTATTTATTCATTTATCTTTTCATTTTCAAATTAAAAAAAACCATGAGTACTAATTATCAAAATTTTTAATTTAGTTAAAGAGATAAAATTTAATACTACTTGTAAAATACACATTTATTTATTCATTGATCTTTTTATTTATAATTTTAAAGTTATAGTCTTTCATTTACAGTGCGACTCCTAATGCACCCAAAAGACAAAAGTTAGTATTTAAAAAATTTTTTTTTAATAGTTTTATTTACCATTCCTTAAATATAATATTTATATATTTTGTTCATGCAATTATTTCTAAACGTTTTAGAGACGGGGATGGTGAATTGGAGAATACTAGTTCATTGGGGTCAGTGAAATATATGACATAGATAAACAGAAATCCCATCAGTTTCATCTCTTCATTTTATTTAATGAAATACTCCTTGTAAGATACACATGTATTTATTCATTTATCTTCTTATTTTCAATTTTAACGTTATAGTCTTTCATTTACAGTGTACCACCTAATGCGCCGAAGAGACCTCAGTTAGTATTTTTTAAGTATTTAAATTTGTTCTTCATAGACATTCATGACCTGTATAATTCATATTTATTTTTCTCTGCTTTAAGTACGGTCAGCAGAAGAGAAACAGAAGAACTGGGGGATTCCCTGAACGATGTGTCAATCGGGGAATTAGTTGAAAGGTTAATCACTTTACTCAATCTTTTTTATTACAGTAAAATATTTCATATTTTTGATGGTTGTGGTGTACTTGTTTTGTGTCTTATTTTGACCATCACAATAATCTCTCTTTCAGTCAACGGTTGACCCAAAGCACGTAAGCATATCTGACATTTCGTTAGTACTGTGGTTGAAAATTACAATTTACTTGAACTTACTCTCTCCACTCTTATGTGGGGACACCTCCGTATGTATTTAAATTTTGAAATAAATATACGTTCCGCTGACTAGAAATAATGTTTGTATATCGTTACTTTTATAAAACTGTATCTTTTATTTCAGCCCGGAATCCAAAGACGCAGACGAAACGTAAGTATTTTTAATTTCTTTCTTTTCTATGATCGGGAGGGTCAACGGAAGTAGGAAGAACGAAGCGCTTAGTTTAGTATTCCAGTATTACTGTATTGTATGGACATATTTGAGGCTATATTAATTTTTTATATCGGTTCTCTTTACAGCATTCTCATGGAATGAGCGAATGGATCACAGATCATGTTCAAATAAAAAAAATCATTACTTTGTATGGGTGTGATGTTATTGATTTCATTGAAGAAGGAATGTACAGGAACGCAACAAAATTCAGTTTCATCATTTAAAGGATTTTATTAAAAAAAAAATAAAGTATCTTGAATAAAACATGCCCATGTTAGGACTTTATTTGATTGTTAGATAACGTGTGTATTTTAAAAAAAAAATACACACGTTTTCGTAATCAGTCATTTAACATCTGAACTTTGGTATGTCCGAATTTTAAAAACAAGTTATTCACATAAAAAGTTTCATTGATAAAACTGGGGGTATCTGAGACTAAAACATGCCGATGATTGAAAGTTACGTGATTGTTAGACATCCTGTATTTTTAAAAAAAAAAAATACACCATTTGTCATAATCAGTCATTTAACATTCGGTCTTCGGTATGTACGTCTTACTGCTGTGTAAATGTTATGACTACATGTGAACATTATCGATCCTTTGTGGGTCAACACCTTGCTCTCTCGTTCAAGGTATTATTTTTGGCTCGGACACGCTGTGGTCACACTAAGGATGTACTTTTAGTTTTATTTGTATATACGTTTTCCGATATTTAATACCCAATCTTTAAGTGCATTTTACAATGTATTACATCCACGTCATAATCACTCATCGTCTGGCCATTATACTACTAGAGATATACAATGTTTCTGGTCTTGTTTACAAATAAGGATTATCCCGTTCAATTGTCGTGTCTCTAACACGATCATGTCTCCTCCGGGTCACGGTGAAGTCGTCCATAACCTTGCTTCCTTGTTCTTCCCCCCCTCGCCTTACAATAGAGGGGGATAATCCGGATCATCCTCCCATTGTCCTCCCCCTTGTTCTCCCCAACAATAAATCCCCTTGTTTACCCCCTCCATTGTCCCCCCTTACAATAGAGGGGGGATAATCCGGATCATCCTCCCATTGTTCTCCCCATTGTTCTCCCTAACAATAGACCCATTGTTTACCCCCCCTATATGTCGGTTATACTACTCTCCTCCACAACAGGAAACAGGAAATTATCAACACCAACCCTCCTATCACACCACCCAAAATAAGGGGTAAACTTTCGAGAGTGGAACTGGAATCCTCAGCTTTGTCCAGAGTTTCTTTTAAAAGAAACTGATTTGAAGACAAATGCATATTTACAACGGTGGCTATCACAAATAGCATCACCTTCAATCTAAATACATGTAAGAAAATTAAGGATATTTACTTATATTCTGAATATCATAAGAATATTGACCGATTATGCAGGAGAAATAAATAGCGTCATATTTAATCCAGTTACAATCAGTAAAAGGATACGTACAGGTGTACTTTTATTCTGCATGATTTATATTGGTTGAATGGAGTTTTGAGCTTGGGTGCTCTTTGGTTTCTCCATGTCTCTTTTGAACATGTTGAAAAGCATCCCAAACAGTGTTGTTTGTCGTGCAAGAAAAAATTTTTGTAGTGTTGTGCTAAAACGACATACCTTTTGCCGTTGTTTCGCCATAGCATTCCCCACTTGTTGCGTTACATTTGTCACATGAACATTTTGCGGTGCACTGGATTCCGAAATAGCCCACTGGACAGGGCATGCTGCATTCTAGCCCGAACGATCCAACGCAAGCTGAAGAGACAATAAATCAGCAAACAACCTGATTACTAGTATATTCAAGTAAAAGAAGGGGTGACTTCATTGATGTACATTCAATAGAAATCATCATCAACAAGATGAAATTCCCATACTAGTTTCTGCGCATGCCTTAAGCATGAGCAATCACAAAATGAAAAAAAAAAAGATTATGATGTGGATAAACTTATGATGGTCTCATGTATTGTAAAGTCTTTATTACGAATTTAGAAAAAAAGAGCTGTCTTATTTTTTTCAGTTTTTAAACTGCTTATTACGTTTACTATATTCCAAAAATTATGCGTTTTAAATTGTGCCTTTAACATTAAGAAAACTCACGATAACATTTTCCTCCAATAGTTCTGAACCCAATACAACATCGGTATTCCCCCCTAAAATTACAAATTAATTTTAAAGGAAATTTTTTAACAGGAAGAATATGTAAAACATGGTTGAAACAAAGGCAAAACTATTTGAGCAGCTACTCACATTTTATTAAAATTTTGGCATCGTGGTTCTATTGGAGTAACATGTATCACGGCAGAGGTGTATAAAATCCTCAGAAGAATTATTAATGTAAAAAATTCCAAATGATCCATTTCCAAAAGACAAATCCTCATCCTTATAATATGTAGGGTATATTAATCTATATATAGTAAAATTTTATCTCAACTGGAAGGCAACTGAATCGCTAACCCGGAAAAAATTGTTCAGTCAAGATTTCCTAGTTGAATGCAATAATAATGTGATTAAACAAAATTCAAATCTAAGTATAGATAGTAGATATATTAGTTCCTCTTTGCACTTAGAACCTAACCCGCTTTTTCCTCCAATCAGCAGCTGCTAAATTTTCTATTAAGTTGATCACTTAATTGTTAAGATTTTATGTCTATGCAGTAACACCGCGCGCTGACTTATTAGCCAATGAAAATAGGTTCTAAGTAAGTTAGATCATATTAAGTAAAATTTTAGTGGTTAAGAAGGGCTCGGTCGCTTCGCTCCCTCCGCCCCTTCTTAACCACTAAAATTTTACTTAATATGATCTAACTATTACTTAATCCTCAAATTTCCAATGTATATGTAAGTAGTTTTCTAATATTTTAAATGTACATATTATCTAGAACACGATGAGAAAACCTACATTAACAAGAGAATTTGTTTCCTCATCAAATATGGAAACATATATTTTTAAACGAGTAACAACTAATTTTACCTAATCTACGAGTAGTAATGATCAAACTATTAGTCCGAAATATTATTGAACAATTTTGAAGTATAATAACATGTATGCATATTGAAGTTTATACTGGTTTCTAAGCTCTCATAACATGCATAAGTCAGTAAAACGTACCGTATAGATGTTTGCCTTTTAATGTACACTCACCTTCGGAAAACAGGGGAAGAAACCACAGTTATTCTATAATTTACAAAATTAACCGTTTCAGCAAACCAATCTCAATGCCACTGTCGGGCGTGGAAACCGATCCTTTGGATGACATCGAGCTCCCGTGTTGCAGTAGGCACGAAAAAATATTCCTCACCGCTCAATGACCTTGGGTGCAGAGTTTAGGACAAAAATTGCAGCTCTCAATCGGCAAATGGTGGTGTTTCCTTATGAGTGAAAAATTCTCTCGAGAGGGACGTTAAACAACAAAGAAACAAAAAAAAAACTCCGCCTCCCTGGGTGAAAATTGGAAAATAAAATGCACATCCAATGAAAATTTCAAACTTTTTCTGCCCATTTTCAAGGCACCACCAATCACAGTTTCCAAAAGATGAGTTAGTTACTACTTAAAACCTAAGAATTGTTTGAAGACAATATGACAGACAGTCGGACGGACCAGAAATGTACTAAACACTTTATTAACGCTCCATTCCTTTTTCGAACTTAAATTTCGGCCATGATATCTAACTTTTTACACTTCAATATTTTGTCACACTTATTGTCTTTATCCCAAATATATTTGCCGTAGGAGTTCATGCAAGTGACTTGGAGAATTCGATCATATTTCTCCACCGATTCAAACAATAAAGAATTCTATCATGTATCAGGTCAAACTGCATTCCCAAAAAACTCAATTGATTGTACAAGCTTTTTTCACTGGTTCTTTGGAAAATGTTTAAGGTAAAGATAACGAACAGTGAGCGATCGCAAGAGATCTATTAACAATATAGATATGGGATGATGGGATCAGGTGCCAAGAAGGAGAACCATCCCCTGTAAACTGGGTTCGCCGTCATAAATCTTTGAGAATTCTCAAAAAAAACTCAACTCAAGTCTTGAGAATTACTCAGCTGAGAATTTGAGAATAAAACAGAGTTTAAGGAATTTTTATTTTTCTCAACTTTTTTATGAAGGCCGCTGAGTCTAAGAATTTTGAATTTGAGAAAATTCTCAGACTTGAGAGCATTCTCAGACTTAAGTATGTTTTTTAACGGCGGGCCCTGGTCACATAAGCCGTGATCCCTATGATTTAATCGGGTACACGAAACTTCCCATAGTCAAATTCAGTATTAAAAAAAGCTTAATAACTGGTATGGTACATGTCAGCCAAAATAGAGAATTGGATTTATATCTTTATTTTTAATTTTGTTCCTCTGAAGGTTTATAAAAACTGCATGTCTGTCTATATTCGAGTGTCAGCCAACATTTCAAAATAGCCATCATTTTAATTTGTTTCAGGAACATAAAATCAAATGTGAAAAATTGTAATTAAATTGGGTCCGCTAAAATTATAACATGAAATTTTATAAAATCCTTTAATCTGGACCAGTATTGCAATGTATGTCATTTTTGATTTGCTTCAGGTGTAATTTTTTCTCATGTTGAAAAGATGGGCAAACGATATAACTTCTCATTTTTCCGCCATCACTAGTTTAACATCCTTTTACTAAAGAATCTCTTGTCTCTTTTTTTTGAAAAGGATTCTTTAAAAAGTTATATATGTTGTTGCCTAATGTATTTTGAGTCTCTGGTCATTTTACAGTTTGAAATGCAGACGGGTATTTTAACCATGCTTTAAATCTTTTTTGTACAAATCAATCGTTGTCTTAATAATGAAAGAAAACACAAGCCAACGTTCGCAACTTTTATACAGCCTTCACTTTAAAACTTAAAAAAAAACATGTTTACAATCCAGATAAATTATAATTTCAAAGCGAGATTGCAGACATTTCGCATAACTTCCATTTAACCTGTCTCTCGGCTGCCATGAATGCAAACACTTCACTACATTCAACAGGATTAGTACACGGGCACAAAAAAGTACACTGTGCTCCCGAATTGGGGGGACTTTGTGTTCCGGATAATTGACAGTGACGTAATTCACCATGAAAACGACCTTTTGAGCTGGAAGTGGGATATGAAACCTAGACAAAAAAAATGAATAAATAAAAATAAACCAATCTAAGTCCATTGTAATTTACACTGAACGAATGAGTGCTATACACTTTGTTTGTTTTGGCATTAACTCTTAAAATGTATGACAGTTATTTTTTAATTGCTATTTTCAAAGTTTCAATTATTGACTGGCTTTTTCATTTTAGTTAAAAAGGTAGGGTGAATTCACCATGCATCGGACACCCTTGTACTTCAACAAGTTCTAACGATATAAAAGCAAAAAAACTTTGACCTGTTTTCAAAAAAATATGTATGACGTACAGTAATTAAAAGTAAGAATGCATTCTTACCTGAATTGATCTTTCATTGTAACCAGAACACGACAGGTTTTCGCCAAATAAGGTCAAAATAAATCTCTTCGGTAAAATATCAAACCAGTAGGTCTGAATTCTAATCCAGAAGACGGGTGGTATGTGACCATTTTTTGGTAAAGAAATACAGCTTGTTGAATCGTTATCCAAAATAGAATAGAGTTGTGATAATAACGTATTATTGACGTCATGAAAGATTTCTGGTTGCTGGATGGTTTTGTTATACGTAATAGTGTTGTTTTGTTTTGAAATCGAGGCCGATATTCTGTACTCGGAAATTCCTATACATCTATTTTTACATATAAATTCTACGATGATTTCAAAGGACATCCAAGCTGGTTTGGAATTTTCCAAAACATTTTTTAGATAATTGATTTTGATTTCAGCATCATTTTCAGACAAAACGTAATCCGTTTTGCTGTAGGTGATATTAACTCCAATACAATGAATGTTGTCTGTTGCTTCATTGAAACTAATGTTAATTGAACGCAATGAAACCGATGGTTTTTGGTGTTTTAAGACGTTCGTAAAAGCGACGTCCACTAGAAGTTGTCTCCTCTTCAAAACTTTCCTGGTTTTGGACATCAAGGTAGAGCAATAACCTTTTTGTGTTAAAAGGCGAGTCCTCTTTTTCATCCGAGAAATTTTCTGCACTTTTGATTGAAAGTTTGGCCTACAAACGAGAGTTGTGATTGTAGATTACCAGAGAGAATATAGAAGAAAAAAATGAGAGTCTTGTATTAATGCAGTATTTTTAATACATTATGTAATTTTTATATATTTTATTTATCAATGAAAATAGAACCATTTCTCATTACAAATAACTGTACTTTATTCCAAACCTTAATTGTGTGTGTGTATGTGTGTGTGTTTGTGTGTGTGAGAGGGTGTGTGTGTGTGAGAGAGAGAGGGTGTGTGTGTGTGTGTCAAATAAAATATGCTTCAGCATTACTTTAAAAACTACCGTGGGGAACTGTATACTTAGTATCTTTAGTATGATTAGTCTGACAGACATTATTTTCATATCTCATTTTGGAATCAAATAGTACATTTTTTACTGTTCCTTTTTAAAGAAAATAATAAGAATCTTTTCCAACAATGAAAAATGTAAGCTCATCACATTTTCAGATCCAAAGAAAAAGGCAGGGTCCTCATAAAAAAATTCCATCGGTAAAAATTTATTGAAAATATTTAAGAATGAATAAATAAAATGGATTTTCTTAATTTAACCCACAAAATACACGAATATCATTTGTATTGTACTGAGTATATAATATGGCAGACAAATTTTATTTACCGAATGGGTAGCGGAGTCAGAATCTCCTTGGAGGGAAGAATTAGAAATGTCTTCGCTCTTCATAAAGTCTGTTAAGTTAAGATCAAATCTCTTCCAAATACTGGATCCATTCAACCAAATATCGATATTTACAAGAGATGTAGATGCCACTTCCGAGAAATTTGTAAAACTTAATAAAGTTTCAAATTCTATGACGTCATCGTCTGTTGTATATTCTGATTGGTAATATCCTACGGTGTAAAAAAGAGAAGCATGCCTGTGCTGTATAATGAATCTGAAATGTTACTTTCAAGACATCACAAAATCGCAAAAGTTACTCGATTCTTGCTAAAATTAAATACAGATTTTTAAAGTAGAATCGCTAAATTTCCCGTCTCCCAAAAAAAATACATTAATTTGAAACAGTTAATGGAAATTGGACCAGTTTTATATCTGTTAATAAAAATACTAACAAATGCTGGACATATCTATTAATCATAGTTGAAATACTTTTAAACATAATCATATACACGTGATATATGGTATGAAATATATGGAGAAAACGAACAGCACCTGATTCAAAGATATATTGATACATATATTATAATTCACACATTTTGAATTATTTAACATTCGTATTCTAAACCTATTTCAAAAATCAGCTGAGCTTACCTCTATTTACCCAGTCAATCGGAAACCTGAGTTTAATGGAATTCATCCCCGAACAGTTTAAGGAGGAAAGAAGGTTTACCTTGGCTTCCTGTGGGAAAGAGAAGCATAAAACAAGTACATGTATAATATAAAATATATAAAATATTATTTTTTCCCATCGTTCTAGTTCTCAACATTTTAAAATAACTCAAAAATATATCTCTAATTTCGGTTTTTCCTTGCTTATCTTTCTTAATCTTTTTGTGTGATATTGCGTTCTATCCTTGCTTCCATGTAAAAATGTAAAAAAAAAAAAAAAAAAGATTAAGTATATATTTTTTATTTCAATAAAGGTTTTAAGCATTTAAAATAGTTTCTGGTTTCTAGCCAAAGTTACAGTATAGTTCATCGTCTACATATTTAAAATGTCATTCATATGGCTTAATTCGTGTTATTTTTCATAAACCATTTCCGTGTTCATTCTGAAAATGAGACAACTAATTATTTAAGGAATGAAGTTTATTTCAACTTATATTATACGTCTAAATATTTAACATTTTATAAGTTGAAATAAGCATTTGACTTAATTTTTCGTGTTATTTTTAAATTTTAAAAGTAACATAAACCATTTCCGTTATGTTGGATAAAATCTTTTAAAATGAGACAACTAATTATTCTTTTATAAATAACAAAACCAGGGTTTAAAGCTTTCATGTGCAATATGATGATCATACGCGACTCACTCGCGATTGATATCCTTGTTTCAACAAATTGTTTTTTCAATGACTTATTTCGTTTCAGAAAGTGCTCATACTTAGAGCATGTTCTTCCTTATCGTAAAAAAAAATGAGCTCACTAAATGATACCCCCCGCCTCCCATATGATTATAATGGCACCATGTTTTGCGGTGGCCGGGATTACAAAAAATAAAATAGGGTGTGTTGTAATAAAGATTCAAAGTTTCATTAAATTTCACTCAGTGGTTTAAAAGGAAAATTAAAAGCGTAACAGACGGACGGACGGACAGACGTACAGACGGACGGACGGACGGAATTAACGATTACTATATACCCTCCCGCTTTTCAAGAAAAAATTAAAGGGTATGTTGTTACCATCACGTTTATCATAAAGATTTGTTGCCAAGCTACAATGAACGACATTTTCTAATAAAATATTAATTGACTTTGTGTCTATCATGCAAACCAGAACAAAATAGTAAGACACTTTTCTAAATTATGTTTGATTCAAGAAAGCTCATTTCATACCGACTTCTGATATAACATATTCAATTTACTAAATATACCTTTTCAGAGATTTCATGCTTGTCCCCTAAGATTGATTCCTCTAAAAGTTACCCCTTCTGATATAACATATTCAATTTACTAATGAATCAATTACATATAGATGTATATTAACCTAGTCTGTTTTACCAAATATCATTTTGTAGCCAAAAATAAATGATAAAAATAAAAGTTTTGCTTCCCATAGACAGTCATTTCCCAAAACAAATATATATTATATTAATGATCAGTAAAAACAATAAATGGTTTTACTCACGGGTTTAAAGTTTTCACCAACACGTGTTACTTTCACATAAATTATCTTGAAAAGATTGTCAATAGAGCTTAACTTATTCTCGCTGACACCATTAATCTTCTTGGTAACATTTACGGTTATCACTGGGTTATAAATTGGAATCCAGGCCTTAAAAGATATCGCCAAAGCGGTTTCCGTTAAGGAAGCGACTTTCCGGGGCTTAGATACTTCAGCTCTCGAAATCTTGAACATCTCCTTCTAGAAATGAAATATATGAAAATAACGAACAGCATTCAAGATCAAAAAAATCATAAAACAATACAAAATAAGGATCATAGCAAACACGGAGCTCCAAAACATCTGAGATGTATGGGATCAGGTGCCATGAAGGAGTGAGCATCCTCTGCCGACCGGTTACATCCGCCGTGTGCTCCTTGTCATGATCGGGAAATAAAACATTGTCAATTCAGTGTTTTTTAATGGACTTAAATAATGGACTAAACAATTAAATGTGAAAACGTCAGTCAGCATTTGATTCAATGATAAATTATATTTGCTGAGGGGGTATATGTTTGATTTACAGTATTATTTTATAAAAAGACATAGCACAATTGATTACAAATTTTTAATATGATGTGTTCAATTTCAAATATTTTTTGTCCAGTGTAATGTATATTCTGTGAATAGCTTGATGTATTTAAATATTTATTGGTAATTCTCTTCTACTTTTTTTTTTATAAAGTTTAAATATAATAATAAGCATATGACATAATGAAGAAAATTGTTTCTACTTACTTTCATAGAAGTTCTCGCTTCGATTAAAACTGTGTCGTCAACCATAGATTGCTCATTCAAAAGTAAAAAAGCGGATATGCTGAAAATTTCTTTATCATTTAGACCCTTTCCATTATGTAGATAAATTCCCACGTCACAACGTAGTGACGTACTATTGATATCCGTAAATTTTATTGTCAGATTGGTGATTCTCCAAAATGCAACCTAAAATGTAATGAAATATATTTCTAAGTCAAAGAAAAATGCTAACGTACATAATCGATTTAACATAGCATTTTAATTGCAACTATAAAAAAAGATCCCTTTTCTATGCTATATCTTCCTATAAAACTTTTCTTTAATATGCTCAGTATCGAAGGAATTCATAAAAGAATTATGAAAGCTACAATGATAGCAACTATATGTCATTAATTGCCTTGCACGCGCAACCATTAACATATCTTTATATCTCGAGAATCAATAAAAAAATCATACAAAGATAAATGTTACCGTTCTTCATATAGGATTTTATACTGCATGTCACAGCCCCAAATCCATTATTATAATACCTATTCATATTCAAAAGTTATGGCAAAGATTATTTAAGTTTTTGCAGCACACGTGCAACTTTCATGATAATTCTTATATATCATACTGTAGATTTTCATAATGCATGACTATGTTCAAAATTTCAACAGACAAGGCAAAAAAGCCATTGAGATCTTGCTATTTTGACCATGCCATCTTGTCTACACAGTCACTAATAATATATCCTTATATCAGGAGTTTCAAAGCATTTCATCCTAAAAATAAAAAAAGTTATAGCGATATCTATTGTGTTGGTCATTTCACTTGTTGCATGTGCACGTTCTTGCAAGCACGTGCGCGTAAAATGACCTTGATTCCGCAAATCTACATAATATGCCTACTGACCCTAAAAATGTTTCACCTCACATTGGACGAGTAGATTACGAGATCATTAACGAAAACTTTCATTTGTTTCTTGAACGAATCGCCAATAAGCTCATTTAGAATTATATTTACAGAAGAATTTGCAAAAAAAAAAAAAAAAAATTGACATGAAACGAGACTTGATATCCTTGTTTCAATACTTAATTTGCCAGTAGCTTAGATAAGGCATTTTCATGTCGTGATTTTAGTTTTAACCCAATTGATCCCAATCAGCAAAAAGCACATCGTACATTAACAATAAATAACCTTCTTATGTTTTGTTACGGAAGTATAAATTTTTAAACACGAGGAGAAAATAAAGTGACTTAAACGAAGTATTAAGTTGGAAAAAAGCAACTAGTGAACCATAGATTTCACCAGCCTTTTTTATTGCAAA